CGCAATAGCCGTAACAAATCATGAGATAAGAGAAGCCATGAATCATCTTACTTGTGTGCCACGGGTAGCTATAACTTCACATTCAATCAGTATCTTGGAGTCCTTCGTCAGTTCTTTGTTCCTACACTCAGTTTTCAATATGCCTCAGTTATGAAAGGTGGTCACCTTAGAACCATGTACAAGAACAAGCCTGGTGTAGTTCTCATGTGGAACAAGAACAACTTTCCAAGGTCTATGTGATGGATCATCAACGAGTAGCTTTGGACAAGCTCAATCCGCGGCACTGGGTGACAGTATTTTTTGGAACGATAGTGGCAAGATGCCTGCACGGCCACAGCCACCAGCGCATAGTCCAGTGGCTTTGACACAGATGACCCGCCAGGACAACTTCCACATCCTGCTTTAGCGCCCGATCCAAATGAAGATGCTGATATGAATGATCAGATGAATGATGCACCGGGTGAGGATGATGCCGACTTACCGGCACCGGAACCTGTACAACCAGCGCCGCCTGCGCCTCCAATGCCACCAGGACCAGCGCCGACCGTTCCACGCACTGGTCCACAGACCTCTGACATTTCTACACCGCCGGCGTCAGACCGCGCGATGGAGTCACCAGGTACTCCACCACCTCATCTACCATCAACACCCTTTGTGTCACCAGATACACCAATCGCACCAGTTCTGCCAACTGTTCCACAGAAGCGACGCAAGGCACATCCACCTGAATCCAACGTCCATACACCATCTCAACCCCGAACCAAACCCAAGGCCATTCCAAAGTTTGTCTCCAAACCTGCTCCCGCTAAGCAGACGTCGCAGCCAGCGTTACAACCGCCTAATGCTGAAACGATACCCGGGGATCCGACACTTGATCAAAAACCTGTTGAAGAAGAAGGCTATGTCACAATGGTCATACCTGACCGCTGAACGCCGTGGCTGAACGCAAGCTTTGCTCAAACACAGCATCGTTCTCAGTGCCTCGGTATATTGATTCTGTTCCAGTCAATGTTCGCGCCGTTGAGTCAACTTTTGTTTACGCAGGTGATAGCCGCTATGTTGATATGCGCGCTAAGCCGAACTACCGGTTGTCGATCGGTCGCGCGCTGAGGATAAGTCAGACATTAAAGAAGTGTATGCCGGACTGAGCAAGGAAGACAAGGCATTTTTGACATTGTTCCAATCCACAGATGTGAAGTTTGCCTTCTTGGTAGGACAGGACAGAAGCGCAAGGAAGCAACGCAACAAGAGAAACGTGAACTTACCAAACAATTCCTAGAAGCCAAGATGGCAGAAAGGCAATCGTGGATCAAAAATGCTGTTTATGACCTTGTCGACGCCAGAAAACTGCAAGTTCGTAGCTTTGTATCCGGAAGATGGGTTTTAACCCTGAAGCGCGACAAGGATGGTAAGTTCTTAAAGTGCGAGGCCCGATGCGTTCTTAGAGGGTTCGAAGACAAACAGAAACAGCAACAACGGACAGATTCGCCTGCAGCATCTAGATCTGGTTTTCGCTGTATAACCCAGGTTGCTGCCAACCGTCGTTGGCCCCTGTTTCACATGGATTTGAAGACAGCGTTCTTACAAGGAGAGGCATATGATGAATCTCGTGATGTCATTTGCCAGATTCCGTCCGAACTAGGATATCCTCCATACATGGCAGCTCGACTTAAGAAGCCAGGATATGGTCTCAATGATGCGCCCCGTAAATGGTGGAATGTAGTTGACAAGTCGCTCACCAGTTACGGCCTAGTTCCGACTCGTGCTGATCGCTGTACTTACATCTTCTATGGATCTCAACATAAAAGGCCCGCGCCAGCGGTATCAAGGAGAATCGAAATCGAATGTCAGATGGCCTGACAATTCCTTGATGCCGCGCTTGAATACTTCATGGATCCCATTGCTCGCAACAAGCAAGCGGACGAGAGTCCATGGTTTCGTATGTTTGCGTGTTGTGGACCTGTACATGGCAGGAGACAACCGCTTTGAATCTAAGGTACTTGCCAACATAAGGAAGGACTTTCAGTCGGATCCGAGGACAAGGACGATATCATGTTTGTTGGACAACGCATCAAATGGAAGACCCATGATAAACATGGACCGTATATCAGTGTAGACCAGAAGCTAGCGGTAGATGCTGTTGAAGAGAGAAAGATCGAGAAGCATCTTAAGGATAACCTTGCCTGTGATCCTAAGATGCACACAGCATACCGCAGTGTTCTTGGACAACTTAACTGGCTACAGAGCAGAACTCAAGTTCACCTTTGTTAAAAGTTTTCTCGCTGTGCATCGTGTGCCGCTAAACCGACTATCGGTGACTGTCGAGAACTTAACGAGGTAGTTCGTACGCTTAAGCGCCAGTATGTTGATGCAAGGTTCTGGCCACTGAAAGGACCGTTACGGACCCTAGGCTTTCCAGATGCGTCGTACCGGAATAAAGCTGACAAGAGTAGTCAGGGAGCACCTGTCATCTTTATTGCGGAAGATCGTGTATCTCCTAACAAGCAGAAGAGCGACCGCAAACCTAAGGGTCTCGCCAGGCTGTCAGTTGTTGACTATGAAAGCCACAAGATAACCACCGCAACACAATCGACAACTGTGGCAGAGCTGTATACTGTATGCTCTTATGAAGTGTTTTGGCACATGCGCGTTCCTCAGAGGACTTTGGGCAGACTGTAGCGGTGACGTGTTACCGATACACATTCGCACAGATGCAAATAACTTTGTCATTGCAGACCAAACAGCGCATTTGCCCGAGCAAAAGGAGACACACCATCCAAGACAGATGATGAGACATGAGAGCAACACCGGCCAACTTCACGACTTAAGCCACGTGACAAGCGAATACTGTTTAGCTGATCCACCCGCAAAACATAGTGCCAAGCCCGATCAAGTGATAAAGTCGGTCGAGACAGGAACACTAGAAGCAGTGGACATGAATCAAGGCTTTTGTCGCTGAATGGGTAATCAACAACTGTAAGGAACCTCACCGTATAGTAAGCTTTTTCGCTGAAGATATAGCTGAAGAGGTTTATACAGTGTTTAATGGTCGGTAAGATCGCGAGCGCTGCCGCACTAGCGGATGTTTGCTTGTACGCTTGTTTGACCATTTTCTCGCCTCAAGAAAATTTGTGTCTGCGCGCAGAAGCCATCTTTGCTCACCAGCTTTTTTGCTTTCAATTCGCCCATTTACCTCCGACTCTCATTTGCACTATGCCTCGCCGATCGGCGTTTGAGTCGTTCAGAGCCGAACGTGCCGCGTCCACAGAGGAAGTTCCTGTGGATCAGATGGAGGTAGATCCAGAGGCGCCTGATCCCGCTCTAGCGGGTGTGTCGTCTGAGATCGAACCGGGCGCCTCGGATGTTGTGCCAGCACCGATGGACATTCCGGCAGGAGTTCTATTTTTCGCCATGACAACCGGCAACTCAGATGAATGCGCCGGACCGGAACCCAGCCATATGTTGCGGTACCGGCTGAGGTACCTGAAACAGAGCCTGCTCCAGAGCTAACTTCGGATCACCTGACCGAGCAGGCAAAAGCCAATGATCGCTACGCAGCGGAGAAATTTCCGATTCTCCGAGCGACGAGATTCTTCAAGGCGGAGTGACCACTACTGGTCGTTGCAGTGTCTCAACAAAGGATTCCGCTCTAAAGCGCGTGAGATGGCGCCTGATGCCGCACCATCGTCCTCGCGGCCAGCAGACTTTGCAGAACTAGCAGCGCAAGAAGCCGCTCTATAGCGGAAGACAAAAAGATTGAGATCAATACGCCTGCTGGCAAATATCTGGAGACCCAACAGAGAAGGATTCACCATCCTCACTTGATTCAGAAGAAGAGGTTGAGCGTCGCACAGACCGCATTTTGTTGGAAGATCAAACAACCATGAATAGTACACAAGCGACAGCGGGACCAGCAGGCCGTGAGTGCTGTAGGATCGCTCTTAGGTTCTGGAGGCTATCGCTAGTAGGTTGGAGGCCATCGCTCTTAGGTTCTGGAGGCATCGCTAGGAGGCCATCGCTCTTAGGTTCTGGAGGCTATCGCTAGTAGGTTGGGAGGCCATCGCTCTTAGGTTCTGGAGGCTATCCCTACGAGGTTGGAGGCCATCGCTCTTAGGTTCTGGAGGCTATCGGTAGTAGGTTGGAGGCCATCGCTCTTAGGTTCTGGAGGCTATCGCTAG